AGGACAACAGAAAGTTAAAAAGTAGTAAAGAGTGATAAGCGAGCTAAGTTCGCTCAAAAATATTAGTGAGACTTGGTCCAGGATCGAGGTAAGGTTTATCTAATTGTATTTTAGATAGAACTGATGGATGAGCTTCCATTTCGACCGCATATTGGGCCTTGATTTTGTAGGTCAAAAGGAAAGCTATAATGGTTAAATATCCACGTGAATAAGTCAGTTGAGGAGGTAAAATAAAGTGGAGAAGAACACAACAATTAAAAATAATCTTGTAACCTTAAATTAATGTATTCCAATAGGACCATTTTTTGTGAGAAGCCGTCTAGATTAGTTATTTGATTGTCGCGCAGATGTAGCCGAGTCAGGCAAAATAATTGATCAATGCCATCTAGCCGTTTTATCATATTGGCAGCTAGATATAATTCAACTAGATGATCCATCTTCTCAAGACCCTGAGTAGTAAGCAACTGGTTTCCACGCAACTCAAGTCGCTGGAGGCTAGGAAGCCTGGATTTCACGAACATAGGCTCACCCGTGCTGGAAAGGAGAGACTCGATGCGATTATCTGTCATATTCAGAGGACCGATATAGGTAACAAAAAATGCAAAGAAAATTAGCTTCACTGAAACCACGTTAACATTAAAAGTATCCTAAATCTGGGTTATAGATAAAACGCAGGATTTATGCTCTTTATTGAATCAATGGATTAATATCTATATAGTGAGTAGTAATACCCGCAATTAGTGGGCACTTGCATTCATTCTCCTGTGTATATTGCAACACATAAGAGGGTGAAAAGTTCCACTGATAAAGAGTTTTCATATTTAAATAAAATCTACATCTACATAGGTTAGAAGAGCAAAAGTAAAAATTGATTGATGGATATCTCATAAATACAAGTTTTTTTTACATTGAAGGATGCTTTTTACGAGAACCAATTTATAAAATCCTGTACATAAATAAGAGCAACAGGCCCGAAAAATATTTGCTTCCTTCGGACATGAAAAGTTATAAAAAAAGATTTTTTTGGATAAGCTGAAGTACTCTATGTAGAATGAAATTCGCTTTTTGCATCCAATAAGTCAAACCTAATGTTGGAGCACCTTTCATTTAGTTTGAATAAGCGAGTGGAAGGGATTCGTAAGTTGGCTCCACCAGAGGTTGTGGAGGAGTTGCCTTGGAGCTGTGGTTGTAGATTTGTGCAAATAGGCCCTCGACCCCGATGAATCCTTGCTGAGCTTTCGCCCGTCATGTGACGGTCATCGTCAGAGCAGGACACCAC